ATTTTTTTTAATAATATTTTTATGTAAGGTGTAGAATACGTAAAAAATATATTCGTATATCGCGAATGAGACGCAGAAAAAGCCAAGACAGTCACTGTTATAATTTTTTTGTTACTTAGATAACAAAATAATGTAGGTTTATCGGCATCGCTAATCTAGAGAACTTGCTAGGAAGTTCTACCGGATACACGTATAAGCGTAAAACTAATTATTGTATCTCATACAAATTTCAAATTGGAAAAAAAATTACGTTCCGTTCATTATTCTCACTTGTCTTTGTGTTGAATGTTAACAAAGAATACATTTGGCCAATTACTGAAGTATAATAGTTATATATTATATATAATAATGTAACAAATAAATCGCATTAATATGTTACGTTACACGAATAGAGAAACGACGTTGGAGAAATGTTGCGTCAGAGGTACATTTTTCACCTTTGAACTTTTGTTGAAGTCTTCAATTTGAATCTTACTGATCCTGACTGACTGCCATGACTATACATAACATATGACTTTACAATATACGTTAATTATTGTATTAATAAAGTTTATAAAGTGTACAGTTGCCTACCAACGCTGCTACATGATGTGACGGATGTAATTTTATATGAGTCAAGTTTAACTTTTTTTTTAGAAATGAGTTTGTGGTTTCTGGTTACTTACTTACGCTAATAATGAATCATTAACGTTCATTGAAACGTGTCCGCGCGCCATGTTTTTAATTTTCTTGCTCTCATACAATTTAATAGATGATATAAGTGTTATTGTTAGTACAGGTTCATCATATGGATCGCAAATTTGGTTGCTCACTAAAGCGCAGCAGACAAAACTATACGTATAGTGTATCAAAAATCGATGGAACGATGTGTGATAGGGAAGAGGAGAAAATATAAAATATAGAATACATATTAGAAGAATAACTAAAGAAGAAAATAGAAGGTAAAGGATGTCTCAATGAAAATAAATTAACTTAAGTGGGCACATGGCAACAGGAACAGAAAAATGGAGCAACAAAGTAGTAAACTGGTACAATTTAGAAGGTGGATAGAGCATATTAAGGAAACAGCAGATACATGGCAAAGAGTGGCATAGTGCAGGCAGAGAATGGCAGGATTTGAAGGAGAACGTTACTACAAAAGGATACCTAAGAATGATTAAGATGATAGAAATATAGTATTTAATTGTAAAGCATCTAAAATAAAGGTTTTTATTATTATTAATATTAAGTGTTTTTTTAAGAGTGGCGAGAAAATATGTCCCTCGTGTCAATAAGTTACGAGTCTTTGTATTCCTCATTTTAACAACTTTTCATATATCGAAGAAACAAATATTCGTTTATTAAGGAACTGAACAAGTTGCCTGTTTACAAATCAATTGATAACCAACTATCATATATCTGTAATACATGACATGAATATACTCTAGGATTGGTTGGATACCAAGATACATACAATTTTAGACAATTATGTTGGACAGGTCAAGGATATGCAAATGTTAATCAACGATCATGACGGTTAAAACTATAAGGTCTGTATTAAACTGATTTGTTCATAGAGAAGGGTCTGTTATCTTCATCATTTTTGCTCATTGGTATCATTTGCGGCTCACACATATCCATGTGATCCATGATGATGATGTACGAAACCAGGGCATCCAAGATAGTATATGCTGGTTTCCTCACGATCTTACTTCACCGTACAAACATTGCACATGATAGAAAAACTTGTTAGAACTCAACTGGGGTTCAAACGCACGATCTAAAGCTAGTCTAGCCTGGCCTGACTCCGATTGGAACTAGACAAATATTTTTATCGGTTCACAGAGTTTTTCGCAACGAATATTAATGCTGCAAATCGTATTTTATCAAGATCTTCTTAAACCACATGTTAAACGCATAAAAACATGTGAAGGTATAAAGTATAAACTACCAAGCTGAGAATATAAAAATCCTTTTATTGAGTTAAGCGTTATTTAAACTGTGTAATGCTATAATCTATGTAAGTCTAGACGCTTTTGAAACATCACTAGATTTCAACCTTGTATGGAAATAAGTTGCGTCTTATAATTTTTTCTACGTTAGTTTGAGTATCCTAATCTTATTTTCATACACAATATATGGCTAAATATAGACATTGTTTTATTCACACATACTTAAACACACTACTACACTAAATACTCTACCGGATTAAGGAGCCTATTATAATGACAAAAAAAATATTTTCAAATGTATCATGGTTATCGCGCTTTAATCTGGTAATGTACTCTCTTTTAAAGTAGGTTATTTTAACTAAGCTTTGTATCAATGCATTCAGTGATTATGTAAGTCAAGAACAAACAGCAATTAGCGGTAATTCGAATCACAAATGCCCAAAAGCTTTCAAAGCTCTTTGTTCAAAGTGCTAATTGCGACCATACTAATATACGAAATTGAAAGAAATTTTAATCACGCAAAATTGCTTATTGTACGCACTTTTGTGTCTACAATAACCCACAAAGCGCCACTCACACATGAATAACCCACGTCAAAGCAAATGCATTAAAGTTCAAAGTAATACCGTTGAGACTCGAGTCCCGTAGCAAAAGTAAATTTAGTTTAGTACAGAACCGCGCTCAGCCGCGTCGCTCGTGTGAGCGTCCCGCTCAAGGACATTACGAAAATTTGACTGAAAACGTATTTAATAAGTAATTAAGTGAACATTTATATTGAATAATGAATCGTGCTCTAATATTTTAATATAAATTTTAAGTAGCGTGTATTGTAAAGTTTTTATCAGTGCTTTCAGTGTTCGTGTTGTCTCTTTCTACCAAATGAAAGGGAAAGGAAGATTTAGCCTAGTGCTTTTTATGGTTTTCTATTGTAAAGCGAATTGAGAAAATGTAAGTTGCGTATGAATAGTCCACATGTTTTATTATTTCAGTGTTGTTTTATTAAGATATAGGAATTACTATAGGAGATTAAGATGTAGGAATACTTTCAATTTCAATTGAAATATAATTGACATTTCACGTTATTTTAAATGATACTATTGAATTGAACTTCATGTTATATTATTTGAGTTTAAAATTCCTTAACGCCTAAATGAGCTTCATTTTAATACTGTTTATATAATACACATGACATTTTTCGATGACGAGTGACATTTGCGAAACGTAAATTCATGACATTTAATGCTTATTATCACAAATATGATTTATATAGATTACTCTCGCGCGCCGTAATTAAAATCTGTGTTTATAAATAGTTGCACTTAGACTGAGCTTGGTTAACTTGTGCCAAGCATGTGAGTTCGTCGATTTATTTGAAATGGTTAGTCATAAATCTGTTAATAGTAAGAGAAAGATATTTCAATAAAGGATCTTTTGCTACGATATTGCAGGTGTTGGAAGTGCAAATGTTGAGATTTTTTAGTCCAATCCAAAGAATATTTGGAATATTCTTTTTTAAAACGCTAAATATTTAATCTATAAAGCGTTTCACTAATACATACCATCAAAAAATAGCGTTTAAACATCCACAATGACACACCAATTTTTCACGAACAGATTAAAAGAGTTAAAACCCAACAATGCCTTTTTCACCAAGAGACGTTTAGTCCTCGACACCTCGGAGCCAGTGCGTAGACATATGGACCAAGTCTTTTGAGCTAGTGTATTTTGACATATAGATGTTAGTGCTAATAAATCTTTAAAGCTTATTAGTGCTAAGTTTATAAAACAGTCCTTCAAAGACACTAGTAAGTGAACTTTAAATTAATTTAAAAACATTTTTATTTTATGTTAGAAATTCAAAAATTCAAAATCATTTATACATGACGTAGGTAACACAATGTACACTTATGAACGTCAATAAGAAATACATGCTAAATGCTTTTATAGATTATTAGCTTAACTAGGCTAGAATACAGTAGAATTAAAGTTTTTATAAAGCGATTAAACATACACAGACACTCGTATCTATGAGTTAAAAATTAAATTCCAGATAAAACATTAATTAATTTTACAATGTCAATTGACAAAGAAAGATTTATGTGACGTCACTGTTATCACCGATATTACTTAATGTACATAAAACAATAAATAACTGTATATTGACGTTAGTAATAAATATATCTAATACATTAATTTTTTTCGAATTACATCTAAATTGGTACAGCGTATTGGGGTAAAAGCATAAAAAGCAAACTTGCACGTATTTAAATCTACAAAAGTGACATGGCCCTGACCTTCAATACAACATTACTTTTAGTGTAGAATACACCGAAAGGCACTATTAACAATTCTGTCAACAGTGGTTATCGCTCCCACTGGGCGTGTATTACGAAAATATAAATTTTAGTTTAAAAATCCCTTAACTCATATTTTCGCTTGAAAGTAGTTATATTACAATGAATAAACACATGAAGTATGATTGAGATCGTCAGCTATTTATTATGACATTTTTTATTTGCACAAGATATAACCTACTTATAATGCACACATGTATTATTAATTAAACTTATCATTACATTATTTATCTATGTGCGATACTTTTAGTCAAATTGGTTAATAATGAATCCGTGTCCGATTTCACAAAGGCACGAATAATTAGTAAATTAAAAAACTAGTTTTCTAGATCCTTTTTGAGTGAGAAGTATGCTTTTTATAGTATCTGGAGAGCTGGGATTCGATTCAAAATATGCTTTGTTTATATTTATTAAAAAATATATCAAAATTAATGATAATTTAATTGTGCGCTTGCGTTGTAAGTATTAATATTGATTATAATTTATGAAGCCATATCTTTTGTTGCAGAATCGCTTCAATATCTTGTGCACACAAGAATATTATAAGTGTAGAATAAACAAGGGCGCCGCCCACGTTGCACGATAACGCAGCTTCCCGACAGAGAAATTAATCTGGAACTCGGTAACAGGAAACGAGCCGATAAAGTGCCAGTAGCACAAAAAGAATCGGCTAGAATACTAAGATGACCGAAAACTATCGACAAAACACGATAATATGACGAAATTCAACGAATCTGATAGGTGTAGGATACCGAATGAATGCATCAAGAAGCATTCTATAGTGTGTAATGTGAAAGACGAAACCAGAAGATCGATTATCGCGAGGGTACGAATGGACGTATATAGTGAATCAAAGCCAGCCGCTTATTTGAAATTTAAATGTGCGCGGGTTCCCCGGGAGTTTGTTAACTGTAGAAGGACAATGGCTATGCACGTGCGAGCTTTGGCCGTGCTTGGACTAGTGTTCATGTTAGTGACGACTGTTCAAGGCGCGCCCGGAAGGAAGCGCCCGAGTCGGAGTGCACATGAAAAAAATGCGGTGAGTTACCTTTAAAAATTTATCCTATAATGTTCCTAGTTCTTATAAGATTACTAACCTTTTATCGTATGCAAGTAAATAAGTAAACCTATGATTAAGACCAGTCTGAGTTGAATTTTCTCTTTGATACAAAAAAAATTATTCGCTATTTTATGATGATTTTATCAGGATAATACCATTTTCACCAACGTAAATATAGTACCGTTATATAATAGAATGTATAGCCTACAGCCTTCCTCTAAAAATTTAATACAAAACATTCCCGTGATACACACAACTTTATATTTTTACAAGCCAGTATTGAAATTATTTAGCATATTTCTGAAATGACAATTTCTGTTATGATTTTGTATTCAAACACGTCGTGGTCTGATCCCGTATGTTAAGGGCTCCCTAAAATTATGTATTGCATACAAAACAGTTCACTAACATCCGCCAGAAGATTGTTGTCTCGTCTGGCGTCTGCCGGAAACTGACAGCTTATTGTTGACTACAAGCTTATTGTTTGCGTGAAAAATGTTTTTTTGGTTATTTCGTTGTTTTTATTATACAACGTTATATGAAACGAAATGATAGATAAGTTAGATAATGTCATAGGTTTATCAAGTATTATTTGAAGTGCTTAAAAACATGTGTACAAGCATGTGTGTGTAAATTTACATCTGTGTATTGAAGCTGTGATTTTTGCAAGAGGTAGTCACACGTCTTGTTAATCGGTTTTTAAATTTATAACTTTATTTTACTTGAAAAAGTAAAATAAAATTATCTTTATTGCCGATCATTTTTTATTGTTGGGCCGTGTACATCGGTTTTAAACATTTTAAAAATTAATTAAAAAAATGCTAGAATCTCTTGACGAGTATTAGTTTACACGATTGTAAATTACAGACTTTATCAGACAATTGAAATTCATTTTATTAACTGAATTGGACCTTAGAACGTAAATTTTATTGTATTTTTTGCAAAAAAAATTATCGGAATTAAAAAATTAACTATATTTTAAGATATATATACTTCTATAGTGGATATTGACAAGAGAAGTGAATCTACGACAAGTATAATTGATATGACACCGTTAGCCAATTTTCTCTAACTCAATAATTTGACCAAAAAGTTGGCGTGTCGTATTGGATTGGCGGTGACAGACGGAAGGACTCTTTGTTAGATTAATGGGCTAAGTGACGAGTGGGAGGTGTAATACCTGGTGACTTGAGGATGTTCACAGCCATTTATTATCCGGCAAACTGTGAAAAATCTGACAAATTTCAACGCGGACCATAAATCTTTTGGAGCGTCTACATGCTTTGCATTTCCTTAGCGATGTTTTATGTAATACATGTGTTAGGATTCCTATTTTCTAATATAAACATCACAAGTCAGGCGTGATTTTAAATCGGTTTGCTGCAAACAATCTACATTATTACAATTTATTACATTTCTGTAATAAATTGAATTATTAAAATTTTTAAATAAAGTCAAAAAGTTAGTTACAATAACGCTAATTAATTACTATGATATATCTATTGTAACATAATGAAAATTATAATTTACGTCATTTGTGTTACTCAAGTAAACTTAAAATAAAAGTAAAGAGATGTATTTTTTATTTAACTGTAGAAATACTTTAACAATATAATTTTATAAATTAGTTCACCATCCAATTTGATTGATTTATCGATACGATATTAGTATATAGTAAACACATTAAGGATAAGTTCAGTTTCGATATATTAAATCTAAAAGGTCAACGCACGTATCAGTTGATAAACGATTCTTGGTCAGCATGATTGAAATCAGAGTTGAACCAAATTTAATTACAGTTTAAACACAGCATGACCGCGATGGTTAGCGACTTCCTGCGCCCGCGCCGGATAACTAGGTCGTGTTTGTTTTAAAATTATGTGAATGATAACTAGACCATCGCGATGTTTTATAGTATTACTGCAATAATCTACGATATTAAACATTATAAGTACGATATGCGGACCTCCCTTGAATTGTTAATAACTATCCCGTTTTACGACTCAGTAGCAGCAGATACATTTTTAAATGAATGAAACAGTCATTTGTTTCGACGCAAGAAACGCCCCATTTCTTCCAAAAGTAAACAATTTCTAATAGCCTTGTAGGGACTTAAGGTGTAAGGTATTTCAGGTAAGTATTCGGACTAGATTCAGTTTGAAGATAAGCATAGGTTGTCGGCTAGAAACTTGATAGTCTGGACTACGGCTACTACAAACGGGCTTGACGGATCTCTTTGGCAAATTTTAAATTATTTTTTATTTACTTGAAAAATAATAGGATTGCTTGATAGCGCAAAATATTATAAAACTTTTATTATGACATTAAGGCATGTGTGTAAATTAAACATATAAATATATATATATATATATATATAAAACATATATATATATATATATATATATACGTAGTCGGTCCCAAAGTTCTGTCATAAATGGAAATAATCATAAAAACAAAAGTACTGATCAGTTTTTAATGAGTGATATATCAATTCATAGTACATTAATTAAGGAATAGAAATAGCATAAACTTATTCGAAATGACCTCCCTTATTTTTAATACAGGCCCTTAAGCCCCGCAGCCAGTCGTCTATCGCAGCACGCACCATATTCATGTCGATTTCAGTGACTGAGTTTTTTAAAGACGACTGCAGACTCTCCAAATTTTTATGGGGTGTATCACAGACCTTCCTCTCTAAGACCTGCTAAAATGTATAGTCCAAAGGATTAAGGTCCGGACTGGAGGAAGGCCAATCCTCATGTCTAATTAAATCCATGTTTTGACGCTCAAACCAGGCTTTAGTGGTCTTGGCTTTGTATGCAGGCTCAGATGACTGCTGGAACACGAAGTGATGTCCCGCAAATAGGGTGCTGGACAGGTCTTTGACAAGGCGATCCAAAACCGTCTCTCGGTACACTTTAGCTCTGGTTTTGACCCCCTTTTTGCAAAAATGAACCTCAGTTAGCCCGTAATAGGACACTCCCAACCAGACCATTACTGATGATGGATGATGTCCATGTTGTACCCTTGGAACTTTATTTTTAGCTTCTTCAGAACTCCTAGCGTACACTGTATCAATCTGTTTATTGTACTTCTCTTCATTATCGAAATTTTTTTCGTCCGTAAAGAGGATATCACGGTGTCGGTTTTTCGCGTACCGCTTAAACAACACCCGCGATCTCTTAAGCCTTATTGCTTTTAGACGAGCATTAAGTAAGTTCCCACTTTTTTTTTGTATGCTCGTAGACCAAGATCTTCATTTAAAACCTTTTTTATTGTTTTCCTACTGACACCCATCTGCAAAGCCATCAACTTCTGTTTTCGGACAGAATTTCTTACTATCCGCGCTTTGATAGCTTTGATTACTGCTGGTGTTCTTGCGGAGCGTGGCCGGCCAGTTCTTTTCTTGTCCTCAACACTGGAGACTTCAAGGTACCTATCAATAGTACCGTACACAAACCTAAGCGTTATATTAAAATTTTTGAGCAACTTGAAAATGGTACTCGGCGAGTGCCCACAGCGGTGCAACACAATAACAACTATTCGGTCTTCTTTCAATGTCCACTCCGTCGTGAAAACTTACTGAAAGTTATTGTTTTTTTATTTTAAAACAATAGTCAAACATTCCAAATTAGAATGCAATAACTTTTTTATAAAATCCTGCTCGAAATTTAGAAATAATGTGCCAGTGACAGAACTTTGGGACCAACTACGTATATATATATATATATATATAGGAGAAATATTAAGCATTACTAATAATGAATTATTACTTTTGTACTTTATTTTACTTTCTCGTACAGACACCGGCAAACTTCTTGAGCATTAAACAAGGGAGCATTAAACAAGGATTGCGCATCATTTCGCAGCGCCGAACACAAACGTCAACTGATTTACCAATCACGCGATCGACACGTCACTCTCCCGTAGGCCCCCTCCCAGTGATGCCTAAAAATCGCTTCTGCGCAGGCAAGGACATTTGCTCAAGATGTTTGCCGGTATCTGTAATCCCTAATCTTATTTCATATTCAAATTTGATAGCGATTTTTATTCATTTTATGTGAACAAGAACAAAGTCGCCCGCATCAGCTAGTTAAGACAATCGTAGTGACTCAGCCGTTCACCTGAGAGTTTCGAAATAGGTTTTTATCCAAAGTCCAAATAGGTGTGCAATCATTCTATATTTACCCTGGAAACTGGATTTATTTGAAGCGTAGGAGTATTCTTCGGATTTCACTTTCATATATGTTTTGCGTAGGACGAAATTGTTTGGATGTTTATATATTTGTTGTATTCGTAACTCCATAACTTTATGCTTTTTTCCAATTATTGTTAGTTCCAGTTTGAATAACATATTTACGCCCTGGAAAGGTATTTGACAGCTGGTGAGGTTGTTGTCGAAACAGAGGAATCGCTAGCTCAGTCACGTGATTGATTCTATATAATTTTGTCTGGTGATAGGTTATACCCAAAAATACTATTGCTAGCGGCCCTTGGCGGAGGGATCATATTGATGATTTTGATAGTTCGTAGTTATGTTATTATAAACATAAGAATGATATTGACACCAATCTTACTACACGAACATCGTCACCATGGTAACAAATGCGCTAAAATCTATAGCGAAACTGTTGTGAAGGAGCCGGGACGAATTGTTAGTTTTACGTCTGCAATCCTCTTGAATTTACTTTAAATGGAATCGTTACGCCGATTGAACAATGTTAGTTTAATTTAAATGAATTATCTGATTTGTTCTGTTTATATCTTTCGGTTGTTAATCTCTGTTTGTTTATGCTATTTTGGTTAGGAATGTGCTTTGCGCGTAAAAGATGGAGTCTACGAATTTTTATATTACGCCTTAATATTGATTGAATTGTTAAAAAACCGTTTTAATACTCTAGTTTTACAATTAAGCAAAATGTAATTTGCAAGCGTTTTAGGTTATGTCCGCTCAATCATTGATAATAGAAAAATATTTATGAGAGCTTTTAGTA